AAGAAGCTGATACTGACTATACTTTTAAATACTAACCCTCAGTTGTTAAATGTTTATGATAATACAAATATTTACACATGTTAAGGAATTTTTTAATGTGAGAGGATGTTTCTTTTTTTTGCTGAGATATACACACACACAGTACATATATATATATATATTATATATATATATATATATATATATATATATATATATATATATATATATATACACACACACATACACAGTATATATATTTTAAGGTTTGCCTCTAGCTATAACACTAGTGATATGTACTGTAATGTACGACAAGAATGCTAAAATAAACATGATGCACACATCCATATACATCTTGTTATATCACTCCTAGAACTCTAATGTTAGTAACACTCATTTATACACAAAGCATAGCACACAGACTTTAATCATTCAGGACTTCATGCTGAGACTCACCTCAGTAGATGAACCGTTTTTATGTATCCGTATTTCACTCTCCGTTTCGTTCAATTCAGTCCATAAATTCTGTTCAATCTTCCACGTCACTCTGAAACCAGTCGGCAAAGGTTCAGCGATAACATCTGTTGGTGTTTCCATTTGAACTAGAGCACATATATGGTATGATCAGGCCGAGTTAAGCAATTCAGCGAGAATTGAACTGACTAATAGTGAGAGCACCCAGGGATGCCAAAACAAGTATCATATATTAGGCATGTTGGGCAAATACATACCATCATATACAATCTCTCACAAAAGTGAGTACACCCCTCACATTTTTGTAAATATTTGATGATATCTTTTCATGTGACGACACTGAAGAAATGACACTTTGCTACAATGTAAAGTAGTGAGTGTACAGCTTGTGTAACAGTGTAAATCTGCTGTCCCCTCAAAATAACTCAACACACAGACATTAATGTCTAAACCGCTGGCAACAAGAGTGGGAAATGTTAAATCGCTGTATGGTCTTTTGTGAGATACTGTATATTTATTGGAGTCATTATGGCTTTTTTATTCTTGAATTTTTGAACCACAACACCCACAACCAATTAAATTGTCTGAAACATTGTTCAAAAATGTTTTGCAGCACTTGACAATAATTTCACTTGTTTTACGATTACAAACTAATGTATTTATTAAGCATATAATATTACAGAGAATATTACTGTACAAATAAAGAGCTCAAACCAATTAAATTAAATTCGACTGAAATGACAATTACATTCATGACTGTGACAAGCATATCTCTCTAAATATATGTATAGCTATAGCAAGTCAGAAAGAATCCCACTAAATAAAAATTGTGAATCCCTGGCCATATATCACAGACCCCGCTTTGAGAACGGCAGAGCTAAAACCAAATGTCAATCACACGTGCCATACAGTCCAATCCATAAATATATTTTATGGTATTGTTATCATAGCTGTGTACGACAATATGTTGAAGCTATAATCAAAAAATGAATATGAGCTTAATGTGAAGACTTTCTGCTTAAATTTGAGAGTATTTACATCCAAATCAGCTGAAAAAGGTGTAGGAATTACGGCCCTTTTTATGTGCTCCTCTGCTTTTTTAATGAACCAAAAGTAATTGAACAATTGGCTGTTAAAGAACAGAATCCCAACTGTGAAACATGGGGTTGGCAGCATTGCGCTGTAAGGGTATTTTGCTGGAAACAGGACTGTTGTACTTTAGAAAATAGATGAAATCTTGAGGAAAAAGGATTAATTAGGAATAGGCTACCCCAAGAGTTTGTTTCAAGTTTCAAATGTAAGCATGTGACCCACTGGAAATCTGATATAGTAGATACAAGCTCAAACAAATCAGTCTCTTATGCATTATTCTGAAATGACCTCTTATGGAAATAAAGCAAATGCTCTAATTGTATGGGAACATGAAATGTGTGAATTTGTGTATTTTGGTATTTCATGTGTTTTGTGGTTGACTATTCTGTTAAAGTAAATGCAATCAGGGTTGAACTTAACCTGCTGCTTTATAATCCAGCAAAAATAATAATAAAATAAATCACTGAACTGCCAATTTCAGCTACTTACCAAGAGCCCAACCATGTGCGTAGGTAGCTTCTTTAGAGCGAGCTGAATATCCGTAGGAATTCTGCGCACTCACACTTATGTTCAGTGGATCATCTAAAGTTACACTGTTCTGGAATATGCATATTTTCTTCTGAGATATACAACTGTATTCTTGTTTCTGCCTGCAGAAATCCCACATACATAAAAATTAACGAATTAAAATCACTCATAAAAATCAGGGGTTAGATCCACAACACATTCTTAAGAATAAAATCCTTCTTAAATGCCATTTTCTTCTTATTTTCTAACTTAAGAAAAAGTTAAGAATATTTTAAGTCTTCTTAAGAATCTTCTTATTTCCGCGCCCCCCTCCAAGATTGTTCCTAAGACTTAAGAAAAACTTAAGAAACATTAAAATTCTTGAAAAGAATGTTCTTAGAAATCACCGTAAATAAAGCTTAAAACTTTTGATCACCTTAAATCTAGTATCGCTGCCAACTTGGCGTATCCCCAAAGGGTAAGATTTTTTATTAATTTATTAGGTTGTTTCAAATATTAAACATTACAAAATGATAAAAACTTGTAACATATAATAAATCATGTATAACTACTACAATATTTTAGCGCTTGCCTACTGAAGTGTTTCCACTTTCTAGCAAATAAATTCTCCTAAGACGGTTAATGTTGTTAAGCAAACATCTCATTTACATTTGAATCAGGAGGTGAATTTAGACATTTCAAATTTGGCAGTTTTTAATTAGTTACTATGACACCACTGTCATTTTTAAGACAAAAAAAAAGTTATTTCAGATCTTTAACTTCTTTCTTAAGAAGATTTTCATGAATCTGCCCCATAATCAGAGAAAGCTGGACAGCCACTTACATTACATGGACCGTGTAGCTTATACTTGAAGGGTATGGCTCATGATCCCACACACAGGTTACTTTATAATACGGTTGAACAACTCCAACACATGAGACATTTTGGGGACTGCTGACAAGAGCTGAGAGCAGACAACATGTGTGTATTTAACATATCAAACATGGGGTTTTGCATTTTTAATATACAGTACTGTGCAAAAGTCTTAGGAACATTGTAATGGATCGGGTGCAGATTAAAGGCGTTAGTAAACACACAACTCTAAACCAAAATAAACGTGGTCTTCACCGGAAAACGAGAAACGGGGATCGTGGCAAATAACAAGATAATTCAAGGCATGGAAACAAACGATACAACCGATACAAACAATACTAACGATCTAAACTATAATACTGAGCGAAGTGCTCAGTAACCAAGGCGTTTAAATAGAAACCTTAATCAACCCAAAACATGGACACCTGTGGCAAATGAAAGTCACTTCACTCAATGTTGAGCAGGAAGCGAGCGAACCAAAATAATGTCACGTGATTCGTCAGGAGCTGTGCCACAATGCCATCTGCTGGCCGTGGCGTAACACACATGTACAGAAATTCCATAATGCTTAAACAATTTTTTTTTAAAGTCAATGAACAGTTTCTAAATATTACATTTACAAAATAAAATATTACTTTTGAGCCATTTTATTGGAAGTCTTACTAGATAAGGTGTTAAACTTGCAGAAGAGTTACAAGAACTTATGAGTCAGGCACCGTTCACACACGTTTGCACGTTTTTATTTCTCCCACATCATTTTGTTTTTCCACATGATTAGTTTATTTTCATCTGCTCCTTTTTTGCTACAAATGTAAGGCATGTGTTTTTATTTTCATCACATGCTTTGCTTATTTTCACCTTACCTTTTCCCAATGTAGGACTTGTAGTTTACATATAGTTTTTTATTTTTCATGTGTTCGCACAGTATTAACGATGTTATTCTGTATGTGTTTACTTAAATTCACAGTGTGCAATTTCAGCGTATATATAAGTTGAAATGTACTTGTTTTTCACATGAAAAACGTGTATTATTCATATAGCCACGTGTAATTTACATAACCTTTGTAACCTTTTTTGTTGTTGTTGGAAAATTGACTGTTTCCTAATTTCTTTTCTATAATGCAAAAAATATATTTGAAAAAATTGATGACCAAAGAACAGCACTTAAGAGTTTTGCACAGCACTGTATAGCTTATTTAGTATATTGGGTGCATGCATATTATTGTAATTCAGTACTCACGGTACGTCTGGATGGAGGTTCCATGCAATAAGACAGGCGTAGTAGCGTTAAAAAAACACTTCACTGTGCCTTTTTCTACAGAGAGATTGCAAATAGACACAGAGGCGAAGGTGGAGTTGAAGCCATAAAACCGCTCATCTATTTTCCTCTCATTGAGAGTCCAGAAGATTCTACTAGGATCGAACGTCGTCTTCAAGTGGCAACCACTACTGGATGAAGCTTTGATGAAAATTGTTAAATTGGAACCATATGGGACGATCGGGTTTCTCGGAAAGATTTCGCAGGTTTCCTGATCTGATGACGAAATAGTGTATGTATAAACTAATGAATTATAGGCACATTATCTCCCACAGCCAAATCTTATGAGTAAGGACAAAGCAATGAACCCATTTACGGTTTAAACATAAGCATTGGGAAGGGGAAGTAAAATGTTTCACATTACAATAAACATCAGAAAGAAAGAAAGAAAAAGTTCACAATGTCAGCTTTTGGTAGACGCAGTTATCAGTTTTACTTTCCTGTACATGCATCGCTCATTGTAGGCTGGCATTTTTAAACCTTGAGCACTCCCAAGTGGGGTGGTACCCTTGAGGGTACATCTTATATATATATTTGAATCTCAAGGACCATTCATCCACGTGAGGAGATTGGAGACTATCCCAGGGAACTCGGGGAACAAGGCTGGAGACACAGTAGACGGGGTGCTAACCCATCGTAGGGCACAATCACACACACTCATATACCCATTCACATACTACGGACAATTTGGAAATGCCAGTCAGCCTACAACGCATGTCTTTGGACTGAGGGGGAAGCATGCAAGCTCCGCACACACGAAAGATGTGGGAATCAAACCTTCAACCATGAGCTTGCGAGACAAACGTTCTAACCACTAAGCCACTGTAACCCCCCCCCCCCACACACACACACACACACACTTCTTGTACATTTAAGTAGCTTTTACAGTAATAATGTACACGACATGCACGATAGACAAAAGCTGTATACTACCTCAACCTCAAGAAGAAAAAAAGTTTAGCACTCTTTTTCTGAGAGTGTGCCTATAACACCGGGAAAACATTTTGGGTGCAAATGTGCATCAAATTAACATTCCACTAAATGCGAACAACCGTAACTCGTCATCATGTTCGATTCAGGCAAAAAAAATAATATATATATATATATATATATATATATATATATATATATATATATATATATATATATATATATATATATATATATATATAAATATAAATAATCTACATGCCCCCTCAGCCTCCCATCTCCCCAACACTGTAATGAATTAATTAATTGTACCATGATAAATATTTGAAGCCAGTGCATAAACCATCTAGCAAATGAGCCTGTACACTCAGCCTATATGATGCCTGAAAGTGCACTTAATGGAGCAGAGAGACGTTTAACGGGCTGTGACATGCTCATGCACTTCCTTAGAAATTAGTTCCGATTTTCCATGCAACTAGACTGGCATTTCCAGTAACACTGGGCAGTTTAGAGTCGTCCCTCGCCCCCCACAACAGAAAAAAAAACAACAACAAAAAAACATACATAAATAATGAATATAATTTGGAGAGAGGAAAACACACACACACACACACACACACACACACAAATACACACAGACACACACACCACTCACCTCTACACACTACTTGAAGAAGTGCTGTCAGAAGAAGAAACAAAGTAGTCCACATGTTTAGCTACTAATCCAGAGATTTAGGCACACGCGTTGGTCTTGTTCTTGGTGTTGTCCCGGATGGATCTCTAACAGATGACCTTTCGGAAGCTGTGGAGGTCCTAGAAAAGTCCCAACATGTCAGTTTGCTGTATTTCTCATTAATCTGATGAACAGGATGAAGAAAGGAGCGCCTGTGCCAATCCCTCTCCCATTCAGCGCCTAGTAGGCTGTTCGGAGCCAGTGCCCATCTCTCATCTGTTCAGGGGGGAAAAAACAACAGAATTAAAAAGAAATCATGTCGTGTTCATCACACTGCTATACGGAGACAGGGTCTATTTCCATATGCGTTACTTCTCTTACATGCGCATGCGCAGTGTGAGAACTGAAGCGCGTTAAGAGAGGCGTTGCGACACGCACTCATCTGTAGCTCATGAGAAGGAAATGCATGAAAGTCAGTCACATCCCAAACAACTCAGCACAGTACACTGTAGTACTAAACAATATTACGCCACAGGAGGTGGAGTAAAATGTACTAGGATTTGTTTTTTTAGCTGTTTGGGATGGGGATAAGGAGCAGGAGCCAAAACAAACAAACTATAAAGTTTTTTTTTTAAAACAAATACATAAAAGGATCCAACACTCATTCATGCATCCATTTTCAGCAACCGGTTTATCCTGGTCTGAGTCAGGGACGGATTTATAAATCCTGGAGAGGAACCTAAGCCACCTCCCCACTCAGCTCTTATCTGCACGAACCAATGTCCAGAGCGTGAACGCCCTACCCTATACAACACAAAACATGCATAATGCATGAATCATTCTTTTATTTGAGTGGTGTTGGTGATACACAGAATGCAGCCTTACCTTGCAGGCAACTGGGTTCTTTCTTGCTTTTCACCTCACAAACATATCCACCAAATCCATCCATCCATCTTCAACCGCTTATTCCTTCTTCAGGGTCGCGGGGAACCTGGAGCCTATCCCAGGAAGCATCAGGCACAAGGCGGGGTACACCCTGGACAGGGTGCCAGGACACAATCACATACACACTCACACACCCATTCATACACTACGGACACTTTAGACACGCCAATCAACCTACCATGCATGTCTTTGGACTGGGGGAGGAAACCGGAGAACCCGGAGGAAACCCCAGCAGCACGTGGAGAACATGCAAACTCCGCACACACATGGCCCTGGCGGGAATCAGACCCTGGAGGTGTGAGGCGAAAGCACTAACCAATAAGCCACCGTGCACCCCATCCACCAAATCATCCAAATATATTCCTTTCAGTAGCTCAGACTCAACAACCAGAAGAGATATTCAGTACGTTTACCTGGACAACAATATTCTGATATTAACCCAATTAATGAGATACTCTGATTAAGAAACTACCATGTGAACAGTGATATCTGATTACCGTAATCAAGTCATACTCGAAGTAAACACAAATCGAATTAAGACGGGTGGAGTATTCCTATTTTAGTCGCATTATTGATGTGCATTACAGACATGTATACACCTTAATCACACTATTAACGTGTGGGAGTTTTGCCGCGTTATGCGACAGGACACGTCAAAAATTTTCTTTCCATCCGGCGTCATCAATTTCCATTAAAACAACTCTCTCATACCAGTCCTTAATTCGGACTCTCATGCAGTACCTCCGAGTTTGTCAAGGTGGCATGAATGAAATGTTACCAAATGAAAGTACAGAGGAGGCCTGTTGCTGGAGAATTTGTATCCGCAGTCGTCTATTTGCATGTATAGCATGATAAATAATTAACAACACTTGAAGCTTTCATGAAATTAAAAATTAAACACCCAAAACTGTATACGGTCCCATAACGAAGACCAACTGTATGTTGATACGTGATTCTAGAGGGAACATCGGACGGCGTGACATGGGCAAGTAATGACGTGTGCCGTTAAGCCATCTATTTTCTATAACATGTAAAACGGGTACATGAAAGGAATATCCTAAAAGCGACTCATGTGAACACCTTAATCACAATATTGTCTTATTCAGAATAAGGTCGTTTTTGGCCCATTTTAGCTCATTTTAATTAAACCCACAGGAAAAATGAATATCCTCTGTCTTTTCCCCCATGCAAGTTTTCTTTTTATTGACACACTTATTATGGTTATCCATGTTTTATTCTGTACAACAGATAATTCTGGTCCACTAATTTGAACTGTCAAACGGTGTTCCAAGAGTGCTTATATTTAGTAGAACCACACCGGGATATTTCTCTGATATTTCACCAGATGAAATTCCCCTTTCTAGAGAGAAATGGTTAGTGGTAGTAGTGACATCATCAGCAAATGTGGCAAACAACACATTTTTCATGAATATAACTTTTCACTTGTATGAAAGTCAAATATGAAAGCTTGTCAGATGAAGATGAAAAGGAAGAAGGGATGCCGATTTCACTGGAAGCGCATTTAACAGGCTATAAAGCGAATGCGGCTTCTTCAGGATCCATTTCTGCCAGAGGAACAAACAAAAAAAACAGAACATTTGGCTATATTATGTCTGAAATGTCACTTATTCAGTATTAATTTCTTGTTTACACACGATCTCTGAGACTACCAGTGGCATGGTTGTTAGTGCAAGATAGGCTGTTTTGAGTATTTCAGGAACTGCTGATCTCCTGGGAATTTCACACACAACAGACTCTAAAGTGTACACAGAATGGTGCGGAAAAACAAAAAACACTAAGTGAACAACAGTTCTGTGGGTGGAATCACTGTTTACAACCGTAATGAGCTGAAAAGCATCCCACGATGCTCAAAACATCAAACTATGAGGTGAATGAGCAGAAGACCACATTGGGTTCCACTCCTGTCAGTTAAGAACAAGAATCTGAGGCTATCATGGGCACAGACTCAAGACATTAAAAAAAATCACCTGGTCTTTTTCCAGTCTTCAACTGTAGAATGGTTGTAACAAAGCAGTATCTCACTTGCAATTGTGCTGTTATCCTGAATACCAGCAGGGCTGTGATTGGCTATGGCATTCACCCAGTGGGTTTGTGCCTACAACAAATCAATCTTTACTCTTGCTCATAAGATATTGTGATAAAAACAGTTAGGACCTAACTAACCACTCATTGGTTAATAATTCAGACCAGTACACCAATAACATTTCTAAAATTATTTCAGATTCTGTGACTTTACAGACATGGGCTTGTGTTCTATGCATGCAAGTTTGGGGAGTAACGGAATACATGTAACGGCGTTATGTAATCAGGATTAAAAAAAAAAAACCTGGTAACTATAATCCGTTATAGTTACGTCAAAAACCAAAGTCAACAGTTTACAGGTACATTTTGTACAAAATTGGAATACTATCAGGATTTACAATTTTATTCATTTGAAACCAAAGAAATTAACGTTTTGTCATAACACAATACAGACATCTGCTTGATTACAGTTCTGGTTCTCACTTGCCAGTCATGACTCACACAAGCAACTTCCTGGTGCATGTGCAAATAAATTTTGCGCAAAGTTCATTGGAAAATTGTTCTCCAAAATGCTTGTGTTAGGGTCCTTCTGTCATATGTCCTTTTGTTCGGACCTTATAGAAAGTGTCCTGCTGGGAGTTCTAAATTTGAGAATTCGGCTTTAGTTTCGCTATGATGGGCTTATGGTCTAATAATGCATCGTGTGTGTGCATATATGCATTGCTTTAACCCCTCTCTGTACTTCTCGCACACCAATTGGTCAATTCTAAAAGGCTTGCAGCAACTATTGGCCGAAATCCTGCCCCTCAACCGTTACCTTATTCTAAGCGAACGAGCTGTTGTGTACGGCTTCAAACAGTTGCTTGAAAATAGCACTAAATGACAGCTGTCCTGAGTTGAAGCAACGCCCAGGGCCATATGTAGAGTTAATTTCATATTATCACATTTCTCAGTATTTAATGACCATTCAAAAGTTTAAATGATGGAAGAAGGTTCACTCATGGAATCTGATATTTTATTTTATTCCATGGACATTCAAAAGAAAGTAGGAAAAAATGTCAAACTTGGGTATACTGAAATTTTATTTAGATGTATTTATATGATGCTAATAGTGTATTTTAGTCTGCATTCATACTAACACTGTTTTGAACACTAGAAAGATAGCAGTCTTTCCACTTTTTGGAAAACCAGAATTTACCTTACCTTATCTTTTGTGATGTAATGTTACCCGCATCAGG